GTGATTTAAACAGAACGTCATTAGACCATCTAGTGAGTATATAGATGACATGATTTAAACAGAAAATCACTAGACCATCTAGTGAGTATATAGATGACATGATTTAAACAGAACGTCATTAGACCATCTAGTGAGTATATAGATTATATGATTTAAACAGAACTTCACTAGACCATCTAGTGAGTACATAGATGACATGATTTAAACAGAACGTCACTAGATCGTCTATTGAGTGTATAGATTATATGATTTAAACAGAGCGTCATTAGACCATCTAGTGAGTATATAGATTATATGATTTAAACAGAACGTCACTAGACCGTCTATTGAGTATATAGATGACATGATTTAAACAGAACGTCATTAGACCGTCTATTGAGTATATAGATTATATGATTTAAACAGAACGTCATTAGACCATCTATTGAGTATATAGATGGCATGATTTAAACAGAACGTCCCTAGACCGTCTAGTAGTTGTAGTATATGTTTAATTATATACATTTCACATTTTTAGATTAAGTATATAACCACTTACTATCATACACTTCCATTAGTAGTTATATGTGTTTAAACAGAGAGATATCACATTTTTAGGTTATAAATATCACCAACTTATGGAATATACTTCACGTAGTAGTTATATGTGTTTAAACAGAGAGATATCACATGTTTAGGTTATAAATATCACCAACTTATGGAATATACCTCACGTAGTAGTTATATGTCGTTTAAACAGAGAGATATCACATGTTTAGGTAATAAATATCACCAACTTATGGAATATACTTCACGTAGTAGTTATATGTGTTTAAACAGAGAGATGTCACATGTTTAGGTTATAAATATCACCAACTTATGGAATATAACTTCACTTAGTAGTTATATGTGTTTAAACAGAGAGATATCGCATGTTTATGTAATAAATATCAGCAACTTATGGAATATACTTCACGTAGTAGTTATATGTGTTTAAACAGAGAGATGTCACATGTTTAGGTTATAAATATCACCAACTTATGGAATATACTTCACGTAGTAGTTATATGTGTTTAAACAGAGAGATATCACATGTTTAGGTTATAAATATCACCAACTTATGGAATATACTTGACGTAGTAGTTATATGTTTGAAACAGATATATATATATCGCATGTTTAGGTTATAAATATCATCAACTTATATGTGTTTAAACAGAGAGCTAGAGACCGTGTTGTATCATAGTGATAGATTTTTAATAACGTATATTTACTTGCAGAATCTGCTGAACGAAAAGACTGTAGATCTTATTCAAAGCTTAGCTGAATTCTCAGCTCGGATTGTGAAGGCATACAACAGTAATTCTGATCGTTTCACAGTCACTTCTCCATCTTCGATAATAGGTGAGTTTAGAGTTGGCTCGTGTTTATATGGATTTATAAAGACACTACTAGTATTGTTAAGACGTTTCGCCTAAATGTTACTTGTGTATTTTTCTGTTTAAGAAGGGTGTTATGTAGTGTTATTTATATAGAAGTAGTTTCTGTTTAATGTAGTGTTATTTATATAGAAGTAGTTTCTGTTTAATGTAGTGTTATTTATATAGAAGTAGTTTCTGTTTAATGTAGTGTTATTTATATAGAAGTAGTTTCATACATTTTACATGGTGGAATTAAGTAACGTTTATTCTCTTCCACGGATTAGTGAAAATATACATTTTTAATTACTGTCTGTAAAAACTAAGTGGGAGATGATTAATTTCTATTTTTACTGAAGAATTATCTCTATTCTAAAGCTCCGAAACACAATAATTTGTAGAAATGTTTAGATGTGTGGAAGATAATGAAAGATGGAGAACGAGTTCATTAGTAGCCTGAATTCCCATCCTTAATTAACAAAGTTTTATGAAATCATATTTCTTTTTTTACAGAACTGGTAGCATCAGCTCGAGAAAGAGAAGGCGATCAATCAACAAGAATGAATTCATCAGACTTAGAAGATAAAGTTTCCGTTCCACATCTACAAGGTTGTGTTCTTCTTGTTGTCAGAAGCTTCGTTCTTTCATTTAGATAATGATTATCGTTTATAAACACGTGTTTGTTTCTTGATTTCTTTGTTGTTAAGCTCAAAGCTACACAGCAAGCTATCTGTGTTGTGTCCACCACAGCGAAATCCGATTTTTAGCGTTACAAGCTTCGAGACTTACCACCGAGCCACTGGGGAAGGCTTGTTTGCTGAATATCGCTCAACGCTAAATTAGGGCTACCTGCGTTAGGCGGCCCTAATTTGAAGTGATAGACTAGAAGGAAATTAACTAGTCAACAACACCCGCCGCCATCACCTGGGTTACTCTAATCAAACAGTAAGAAACTGACCGGCATTCATGTTTTTTTTTGTTTTTTTCGGTAACAGATTGCGAAGCCCAGATTTACAAGCCCGACACGCTAACCAGTTCGAACTCAGAAACGTTTAATAGTTCGTTTCTTTTATTTCTATTTCTTGGGGCTAGTTTGAACTTTCTCCAGAACATTCTTATTTAGTCTTCATATTAAAAGTACTGTAAAACACTTATTCTCATTCAAAACGTGGCCTAGTTGCTCAGACTGTAAATCCGAAGATTCTACGTTCGCAGCTCTCGTCGTAAAAACGCTCTACACATTTTGAACCTAGGGTGCTTTTTAAGTTTATTTTGTAAACCGCTTAAAATGGTAATTGCTAAGGAAAGGAGTCTCACATATTATCGTATGTTAGTAACAGATATGCCGGAAACATGTGGGATTCACCTATTTCCTATGGGATTCTGACCAAGCATCATCTCATTTTATCAACAGAAAAATTTACAATTTTACATACCACCTAATAATTAATTTGGCTGCCTCACGGCTATCTTTAGTTTTCACAGTTAAACAGTGGTTATCTCCTTGTTATCCTTGGTTATCTCGCTGTTATCCTTCGTTTTTACAGTTAATCAGTGGTTATCTCCTTGTTATCCTTGGTTATCTCACTGTTATCCTTAGTTTTTACAGTTAATCAGTGGTTATTTCCTTGTTATCCTTGGTTATCTCGCTGTTATCCTTGGTTATCTCTTAGTTATCCTTGGTTATCTCACTGTTATTCTTGGTTATCTTGCTGTTATTTTTCGTTTTTACAGTTAATCAGTGGTTATCGCCTTGGTTATCTCGCTGTTATCCTTCGTTTTTACAGTTAATCAGTGGTTATCTCCTTGTTAACCTTGGTTATCTCGCTGTTATCCTTAGTGTTCACAGTTAAACAGTGGTTATTTCCTTGTTATCCTTGGTTATCTCGCTGTTATCCTTCGTTTTCAAAGTTAATCAGTGGTTATCTCCTTGTTATTCTTGGTTATCTCGCTGTTATCCTTAGTTTTTACAGTTACTCAGAGATTATCTCGATGTTATCCTGGGTTATCTCATATTGTAAGGGTCGTATAATAATGTTTAAAAATTATGAAACTCGACAATCTGTTTCTTGTTGATTAGGGTACAGAGAAAGTAGTTGTCGAGGGCTATTTAGAGATTTCTTCCACGTTTGTTCTGTAATTCGCTAGCTTACAAAACTAATTGCCTCCGAATTCAAATCTACTTTTTATCTGGTTTATTATGGCTGACTGTTTCTAATCATTTGAAACACAAATGTTATTAACTACTTTTATCTGGTTTATTATGGCTGACTGTTTTTTTTTTTGTAACTTAACCAGACTTAACCAGTGACATCAGAAAACAAGCATTTTTTTTAGTTTCATGTTGGTTAACACATGTATATCTGATCTCCTTCTGTTTCTCTACTGAGTTAACATTTTCTACTCAGAGTCCAAGTCTACTACGGCAGCCAGCACGTTATCATTCTGATCGACATCTTTGAGTAAAGTTGCTGTAGTTTTATAACATTTGTAATTAGAAGAGGTTCCTTTATTTGTAGGTATGTTTTACTCTAAACTTAGTAATGGTCTGATTATGTAGTTTGTGCCAAGTGTCTGCGCAGTACTTAAAAATGCAAAGATAGCTGATGATGAATAGGGACAATAATGAAGCTGGATGATTATTATTATAGATTTTTCTTCTGTTCTTTTTCCATAGTTACTGTTGTGTTGAGTAACTGGTTTGTAAATAAGATATTTTAAACAAGATACCTTATTATATAAATTATTTTATAAGGCGTGATAACATGTTGTTACACCTCCGTTCGTTAGTTAATTTTCCGTAAAAATTCTTTCCGAAGACACTTTACCGATACAAGTCCTTTCTTAAATAAAACTGATTTATTCTTTCTGAATACAACTTTGCAATACACTTAATTTCTACAGTCGCGCTATAACAAACGCTATAATTCACAATGAACGCCTCACGTGCTCGACTCAACAATATGTCTCTCTGTCCGCAGTTCAATTACATGGGAACACGACAAGTTATAACCGACACTGTATGATTTCGAATTGAAAGAGTGTTGACCAGGACATCAATAACTATCAAACCAAACAAAATAGTATTATAGTGTTACGACAGCGGAGGTCACGTGACGCTAGTAACACGTCATGCGCTTCTAGAACGTTCATGAAGACTCGGGAGTTTACTAGATTTCGGTATTCTTGTACATACAAGACGGTCAAGACGTGACGGCAACAATTTAGCAACCGATGTCCCGTTTACTGCGAGCGGGTTTTCTGTTTATTGTGTTTTCTATTTGAATCTAAACTGTAGCTTCTTTCCATTATGAAACAGATATACTGTGAACCTAGTAATCTTACTTCTTAACACAGTTTAATAGTTAGGACTAACGGGAAAAGATATTTTAAATATTACTTTGACAGATCGCCTAAGAAAGTACACACTTTTTACGTGTTTTGTTTTATTGCAGATTATTTTCACTCACTTAAAATAATGGTACGTTTTAAGGAAGTTGGGATGAAGTTACTTTTTTCACATATCTTCCCACGACAGAATAGTTAGGCCTAATGTAAAAACATATTTTGAATACAATTTTCTTCGTGGATCGACTGATAAAATATATATTTTTTCTTTTTACTTGTTTTTTATTGTAGATAATTTCCATTCACTTAAAATATGTGTAATACGGGTTAAACAAGCTGGGAAGTTTTTAAGTCGAGATGATTGTTTGGTGAAGAGTGACCTCGTCATAACATCGTTGTCGTCAGAGGGCAGCAGCAGGAAAGGAGAAATAGAACATGATATTCATTTCAAAGTCCATAACGTTCGTATTGTTTCTAATCCATTATTTTAAGTATTATTTATACGTATTTTTGAATACGGTGAGTTTATATATGCTTTTCAAAATGTTTCGCTAAGAAAATTAGTAAGTACAAAGGATACCTTGTGTAAAGTCATCAAAACAAATAAAAACTTGGATATTTTAAAAAATTAAACCATAACTATAGAATGTGGAGAAAGTCATGTACAAATAACCTGTCTTATAAAGACAAAAATAAGAGTATATATTATCGAGATTCAGAAATAAGTTCTTCATCACACAAGACGCCATCTATAAAAGTATGTTATTTTTTTGGTAAAAAAAAATATATCAAATTCGATAAAAGCTGTATGTATATTAAATCTTGTTCTGAAATCAACTTGTATTTTTATATAAAAGTGTCTAACGCCTAAAGATGCCGAAATAATGAAACCAATAAGCCTAATATTAATGGTAAAATCAACATTGTTCGTAATGAGTCCACTGGGTATTTTGAATTAGAGACGTCTAAAAATATCATTTCAATTTTTCTACTGACATAAGTTGCTAGGGTTACCAACAATCCTATAAACTACGAGTTTGTTATGCCAGAAGTTGCTAGGGTTACCAACAATCCTATAAACTACGAGTTTGTTATGCCAGAAGTTGCTAGAGTTACCAACAATCCTATAAACTACGAGTTTGTTATGGCAGAAGTTGCTATGGTTACCAACAATCCCATAAACTACGAGTTTGTTATGCCATAAGTTGCTACGGTTACCAACAACTACGAGTTTGTTACGTAATTATCCCGAATTTCTAGGTTACTATACATACTACATGGTTTCAGTTTGTCGCCAGCAACTTTACACGTTTTTACTGCATAGAAATGGGATTTTTTTTTGTCTACCATCACGTCCGACCCAAGTGATTAATCCCACTATTAAATGAAAGGCATCCTGGGCAGTAACGTGTGACAGATAGAAAATAGGTTTAAAATGTTGTTTTCACATTTCGCTTCTAATTTATAATCAAGAGGGACCTCCATAAAACAAAACTCAGTAGTTAGTTTGGTTTCTACTAGTCATATAAACAAAACTCAGTAGTTAGTTTGGTTTCTACAAGTCAGATAAACAAAACTCAGTAGTTAGTTTGGTTTCTACTAGTCATACATAAACAAAACTCAGTAGTTAGTTTGGTTTCTACTAGTCATATAAACAAAACTCAGTAGTTAGTTTGGTTTCTACTAGTCATATATAAACAAAACTCAGTAGTTAGTTTGGTTTCTACTAGTCATATATAAACAAAACTCAGTAGTTAGTTTGGTTT